ATTTCAAAAGATGTAATTAATTTATTTTTCCTATCAATCAATACTAACCTAGTGGACTCTATTGTATTTCTAATCTTAATTTTACATTCATGTATAACCTTCTGGACTTTATCCTCTAAATTACCTATTTCTAACGTATAATTTGTTTCTAATTCTCCTAATTCTGCTTCTAATTGATCTAGTGTCCTAAGCTTTCTTAAAATTAAATCTAAATTTGCTCGCTGTTCTTTATTATCCTTTCCAACGTTTGTTGCAAACTTCTCTAACGTTTCAGCTAACTCATTAAATCTGTCTATCATATCTATATTTACCCTATCATATCTATACACTTGATTCTATTTGATCTAATCTATTTTCATGACTTCTAGTTACTTCTTGTCGTATTTTCTTAATTAAACATCTTTTACAATAGTTATAAAAACAACGTATCATACCGATTACAATGAAGATACCAATAACGACAGCGCAGACTTCTAAAATGTCGTATTTCTTTCCATTTTCCACCGTTGTTCCTCCACTGTTTCCAGCTTGAGAAATGATAACCTCTTCCTTAGTGTTAGTTGAACCCATTTTTCCGTTTTAATTTGTGTATTTTTTACAGAAAACGCAAACTACTGTTAATATTATGAAGACAGTAACGCTCAATGTTGTTGCAGCTATCCAAATCACTACGATTAATTGTTGGACTATTTCTTCTGATCTCAGTGTATAATCTTCATCCGTATATGACATTTTCAACACTTTTTATTACTTTTTTTTTTACACATAATATTACTAGTTTTTAATGTCCAGGGCTGGCAGGATCGCCATGTAATGTCTTCACTTTATAGTTTATCAGATTTTTATTTAAACACAAAGTGTTAATTTTAAAACATATTTTATTTTCCTTATAATACAATTACACCGGTCGCGAGTTTAATCGATGAGAGCTTGCTTAAGACTTCCCATACTATTCTATTCTACTTATTCCTATTACCTACGTCGACGGCCGAATTGCTGTCGTCAACAATATATGATATTTCCTTTCTTTGGCGTAAGATTGCACATGGTTTTATGAAATCTATTAAGGTATTTTTCCATTACATAATAACTTCGATCCCTGAAAATTCGTTGAATTCGATCTTAGATAGTTTCAACAAATTTAACAAGTATATAATGCTGTTCCATTTTTGGACACTAAAGTCATCAGAAACATCGACAATAAAATCGAATTTGATTGGTACACGAAACCGACTTTTTCCGGTAGATATGTGCACTTTACATCATCACATAAAATAAAACACAAAATTAACACAGTTTTGGCCATGAAGTACAGAGTTGGGAAAATTTCGGAATCTGGATTGGTTAACGTCAACTTGAAAAAACTTAAAGCTATTTTTGTTGCTTACATGTATCCCCCAAAGTTACTTAATAAACTTTTGTTTGGGGTTATGACTGTTAATGGGGATGTTGCTAATCGGACTGACGACAGAAAACTTATTTACATTCCAGGTTTAACTGAAAAGCTGGTAAAAATGTTCAAAAGTCATTGCAATCTTGAAAATACTAAAATAGTGGAACATTACCCTCGTAAATCTCAATCTATTTTTACTAACCTTAAGGATCCAACACCCTTACCTTACAAATTTGGGATTGTTTACAGTGTTTCATGTGGTGGTTGCGGTGGTTGCTATGTGGGACAGACTTCTCAATGGTTGAAAAAGAGAATTAGCAAACATAGAAGTGACATACGTTGTAATAAGAGATCTTGTGCTCTTGCACAACATAGTTCAGATAATGGTCATATCTTCGATTTTGATAATACTAAAGTTTTAGATGTGAGTAATAGTTACCATAACAGGTTTTTTTTGGAGATGTTCCACATAGCAATTACCAATGATACTGTGAACTATAGAACTGATATAGATTCTTTAAGTAACATTTATGCTTTGATTTTCGACTTTTGTAAAAATAAATTTAAAAATTCTGATGTATCGTTGGTTGCGTAGTTGGGATGTTGTTTGGTTGCATAACTTTGTTTATAACTTTCGCGCACTTTTCGCTTCACGAATAGTTGCCGGTTCACTTTTTGTTTCATTACGCTCATACGTTTGGTTGGGTTAATACGTTATGGTTGTAACGGCGTGGTTTTGTTTTTTATATGAAGAAAAAAATTAAGACGTAATACTTTTGTATTTAACTTTTGCCCGGTTTCTTTACAATCGTGAGTTACTTTTGTACTTTTATATAATTTGAAAGTTTTGACTTGATATTTTGTAGTGAGTTCACCCCCTGAAGAAGATTCAATATAGAATCGAAATGTTGGAATGATTAATTGATTGTCGCTTTTTAATCCATTATCCTATCCTGGAACAACAACTTTTACGTGTCGCTAACGGGATAAACAAATATCTCCTTCTAAGTTCTTAATTCATTAAGTCGCCCAAATTTAGATCGAAACGTTTTCGCAATTCCTTGCGACATTTGAAAATCTTGACTGACACAGTGTGCTAGCGAATATTCCTGTGGTGCCGTAAACAAGTCTCCCAAAATTTCCTGAATTTGAAATTTTTTCTTAACGATACTCACCGTATAAATTCTAATCAACGCATCCACATTTCCATGTTTCTTTCCAGGTCGATGAACGATTTCAAAAGCATATTCTGCTAAGGATAACGCTCAACGCGCTAATCTTGAGCTCGGATCCTTTATTGTTAGTAGCCACAGTAATGGTCGATGATCTGTAACCACAGTGAAACGACGACCATACAGATAGCATCTGAATTGTTTGATTCCGAATACTACAGCTAAACATTCTTTTTCGGTGGTACTATAGTTTAATTCTGCCTTTTTTAAACCTCTACTAGCAAAAGCAACTGGAGTTTCAAATCCATCTTTTACTTGGCTTAAGATGGCTCCAAGTCCTTTATCTGACTCGTCCGTTGCCAATACAAAAGTTTGAGAAAAATCTGGAAACGTCAATACGCATTTATCATTAATTGCGTTTTTTAAATCGTCGATTGCTTTTAATTCCTTTTCTCCGATCTTGAATTCTACATCCTTCTTTGTCAATCGAGTAAGTGGCTCCGATAATTTGGAAAAATCACCAATAAATTTCCGATAGTATCCGATCAGTCCAAGGAAAGCTCTAATTTCTTTTACATTTCTCGGGACAGGATAATTTTTAATTACCTTAATTTTATCTGGATCCGGTTGGATTCCTTTCCTTGATAATATGTGTCCCAAATATTTAACTTCTTCGACCAATATTTGCGATTTCTCCGCTTTTAATTTTATGTTAGCTTCCCTAAAAGTTTCAAAAATCTTTTCCAATCGGCCCAAATGTTCATCAACGCTGCCATTAGTAAAAACAATTACGTCATCTAAATATGCCAAACAATGTTTCCCAATTAATCCTGATAATGTATAATTCATAAATCTTTGAAATGTAGCTGGCGCATTCACCAATCCGAACATCATTCTACTACTCTCATAATGTCCGTACGGTGTAGAGAAAGCAGTTTTCTCCTGATCTCTTTCATCTACTTCAATCTGATGGTACGCCGAAGATACATCGAAAACGCTAAATAAATTTGCTCCGGACAAAACATCAACTGTTTTCTGCAAATTTGGTAAAGGATAATAATCTCGTTTCGTAATTGCATTCAATTCTCGATAATCAATACAGATTCTTGTTTTCACTGAACCATCAGCCATCTGTCGATTTACTATTACAACAGGTGCACTCCATGGGCTCTCTGACATCGTAATTATTCCTTTTTCCAACATTTCGTCTATTTTTTCTTGTAGCATTTCCCTCTGATGATAAGTTACTCGATAAGGCCGTTTCGGTATCGGTGGTACGTCATCAGTAACAATTCTATATTTTATTTTATGCGTACTACTAAGATTCCCGATTCCCTTGTCGAAAATATCGTTATATTTACTAAGTAATTTTTTAACCATATTTTTATCGTTAAATTCCAGATGACTCAAGTCAATCTGCTCTACGGGATCATTATTCTTTTTGTTTACGTCTGACGACTTCGTTGCAATATTCGCGATCTTGAACTCTCGAGAACAATGCTCCGGTAGTTCGCCGATTATCGCATTCCCCAACTTCGTGTTTTTATTTATCCGTACTATTTTATCGGATAAATTAACCATTAATGCTTGTGGCCGATCACCTGATCTCACAAAACCACGCGCAATCATAATTCCCGAATTTTTGAAATCGTCATTTCCTTCTAAAATGACATTTTTATTTTCAAATTCTCGATTCAGGATTACGTTAACAAAACATTCTGAAAAGGGTAAAATATCTCGTCAGTATCGAACCTCGTTAATTTCACCCGTTCAACTTCTCGAAGTTTCCATTTTTTCTTTCGTTTATTTCTCCATTTTCGTACGCTACAAAGTACATTGTTACCATAATCTTTCATTAAGTTATTCCACGGAATATCCTTCAACTCTTGGGATAACTCCGCAATTATTGCACTCACCAAACGTGCACCATCAATTATTATTTCTAAACACAACAGTACCGTCGTTGTGAACCTTATAATAAAATTTGATATGACCTTATCCATTTTCTTCTTCCTTAAATTTCGGTTTGGTTTAGTTCGGTTTTCTTCTTCGGTTAATTTTTTCTATCTCGCGGTTTCTCTAGCAAGATCCTTGTTCTTCGGTAATTCGATACAATCTTTATCACTTTCGTCGTCTGACCATTCGTGGTTTTGTACATTATTCCTTACATCAAACCACTGATTAACACATTTTGAACAATTCCCACATTGTTTATTTCTTAAACATTTCGTAGGATTTCGTTCACATTTTACTTTATTAACAATAATACCCGGTTCTTGATCTAATTTAAAATAAGCATCACTAAATTGTAATTTTCTGTTCCGATAATCAATGATAGCACCAAATTTTTCTAAAAAATCTCGACCTAGCAATCCGTCAGCCCTTAAAGGTAAATCTTGTTCGCAAATGTAACGTTCAATACTTCCTAAAAATTTTTGTTTTTCGTAATGAAATGGAACATCAATTACACCTATTATATTCATTGGATGCCCCGTTATCCTTATTACTATTATCTGGTCTTTAGTTTGATTAAAATTTTTATTATAAACGCAATTGAATTTTATTAATGAAATTGGTGAGCCGGTATCGATTAGCAATGTTCGTTCAATATTATTAATTTTTAAAATAATATACAAAGTTTTTTCCCCCATTGCATCATTGATCATTGGTACTGAAATTCGAGAACAATCGCTATCATTTAATTTCGCTGACTCCACTGATTTGTTGACCTTCCCGCGGCGGAAGCCGTATCCGCGGGTGCTATCCAGTTTAAAGACGACTTTGTTGCTTTTGTATAATCTTTCTTTGGTCCATCAGCATTTTTCGTTGGACTACGTGACCATTTGTCCTTTGCTTGCACGTGTCTTCTAGAATCCTCCCGTGTCACGTGTCATCCTCCAAAATTTCATTAGCTATTAACCTTAATCTAGTCTGGAACTCGGACACCGTCTCATTAGGTCCCTGGAAACTACGATTTAATTTGTTGTAAGCTTCACCTGGAATCCTTTGCGGCTTGAATCTCTGGATGAATTTCTCTTTGAATTCATTAAACGTTACCGTCGCCGCTTGCAATGTTGTATCACTTTTGTAATATCGATACGCTTCTCCGGTCAGTCGATATTTTACGATATTCAACGTTTCTTGTTCTGTCCACCTATCCAACGTGGCTCTTTGCTCTATTCGTTCAAAATGTAATTTTACGTTTTCTCTTCCCGAGAACACCTCTACTGTTGCTGCGACCATCCCCAGTGACACGGGGGTAACTGTCATTGCTTGTGGGGCGACTTCTGCCATGTTAATAAGGGTTAGTAAATATTCTGATTGGTATGAAAGATTCGCGAATTAAACAAAAACTACTTTAACCTACTTCAAAGTCCTCAAAATTTAACTTGGCAAAAATTTCCCTTTAACAAAAATTTATCTTTCCTAAACCAAAAATTTTAGCTAACCCCACACCTGACACCAATTTGTAAGGAGCGGCTCTTACTTTGTTGTGTGGGCGTGCTAAAGGCGTATGCGACAAGCAGAACCTTGTCACGCCGGCTTGGATTTAGGGAGCAAAGTAAATGAAATTTAATAAAAGAAATCAAGTTAAATTTAAATACTAAATTGAATGACTTAAAATCAAACGAAAACAACAGCAAAAAAAAAATATAAACTAAAATTAATAAACAGAATTAAAGTTAAAATAAATTGAAACAAAGTTTAGCGACAAAAATAACTCAAAAACTTTATATTGATTAACAACAAAAGAAATTTTAATCTAGTAATTTACTTGACTTTACTTGAAAATCTGTATAAGCAAATTTAATTAAAAACATTAAAAAATATCTAAGTTCAACAATTACAAAATGATCAATTTAATAAAAAGAATAATTCAAAAATAATATCGAATATTACGTAGGTTTATACCAAATCAGAAAAAGCCAAAGCAATTAGTTACAATCTTTACAAGTTAATATGTAAAATAAAACATAAATGACTTACCAACGGTTAAAGCGATCATATTGAGAGGAGTGACTCGTCAAAAAGTGTAACACTTTAATTTTAATCCGATAGAATAAAAGTTAATTAATAATTATTAATTAAATAACACATCAAACTGAAGAATTACCGGAGTCTTACTCGGACTTTACACTAAGACTCTTAACCGAAACCGAATAGGGTGTTTCGCCGAAGGAATTAATTTTAGATCAAACCAAACTGCCACTAAAGGCGCCTCCTCAATATTTAAACCTTTACCCCCTGGACGCTCTTTCCTCTAGGAAAGTCCTCATTGGCCAACACATGGCTCAACCAATTAGAGATTGCAACATCAGCAATTAAACAAAAGAGAGGGAAGGAAAACAAAAGGAAAACGTTTTCCCCCTGGACGCTCTTAACTCTAAGAATGATCTTATTGGTCAACGCGTGGTTTAACCAATCAAACAATTACAACTATAACAATTAGACAAAAGAAAAGGAAGGGAAGGATGAGACGAACAGCGATCCCCTCTATCCGAGAATGAATAAAAATATCAATAATTAATTACCAAAATCTGAACTGATCTGCGGATCGCTACACTTTGTTTATTACAAGAATCTTCGCAACTTGGTTACGAATGCCATCCGTACTGAGAAACGTGTTTTTTTAACAAAACTGTAACACAAGTGACTCTCGTAACTTATGGAAGCGCTTAAAAAGATACAATGTTGTTAATTCATCTTCTGCTGTTTTGCCGGGTAGCTTAACTGATCCTGAAACGGTCAATAAATTTCTTGTTGATTCTGCTCAAAATGTTCTGGTTCCTCTTAATCAGGATTTGTTGAGTTATTATCGTGACAATAGGATGCGTAGTGTGAATGGTGACTTGACGTTTGATCCTGTCTCAGCTAATAAAATTGAGAATTTGTTATCATCCTTAAAATCAGGTGGTATTGATTCTGATGGGATTTCTTTGGATATGATAAGGTTGTGCTGTCGTAATCAGTTATTCATACAGAGCGCACGTCTTTCGCGTACGCTCTACGATAAATTGAATTACGGTGAAAATCTGATCGATTTCGATCGTTTTTTGATAGATCGGCGTGTGGCAGTGTGTAATAGACAAATTAGTGTAGTTTTCGCGAGTTTTGCACGATTAATTAAGTAGTTATTAAGGTTTTAGTGGATAAGTTCTGTGTGTGGTGGCGTTAAAGGCGATTATCGCTTGCGATCGTCGAGTCGCTGTGTGACGAAAAACGTCACTGTTAGACGTAGAGGGACCGTTATTTGTGTGTGGCGTGTTTTCCGTTCGTGACGTCAGTTAAATTTGGATAATATACAGGGTGAGTCACTAAACAGTATTAATACGGGGTTAAAAATTTTAAGTGTAAGGGAAAAGTAAGGGACGGATAAGTGTTGAGCCGTCAATCCTTCGGGAATAACTTTGGGAAGTAGTGCGTATCTCGAGAACTAAAGGTCGTACGGTAAAAAGGACCGCATNTTTGTTGACCTTCCCGCGGCGGAAGCCGTATCCGCGGGTGCTATCCAGTTTAAAGACGACATTGTTGCTTTTGTATAATCTTTCTTTGGTCCATCAGCATTTTTCGTTGGACTATGTGACCATTTGTCCTTTGCTTGCATGTGTCTTCTAGAATCCGCTTCGTCGTGAGATTTGGTTCCCGTCGTCCGGAAGCTTCTCGATTCTGCTACATCCTGTTTACGTTTAAAATTTCCTGAATCAAGCCTTGTCTATGATTTCTTGGGAGAGTGCAATTGCGACTAAAGTGACCTGGTTGTCCACAATTATAACAACTAAACGATTGTTTTGGTGAATTTACTGAAGGGAATTTTCTATTACTTACGACGTTTGTAGAATTAAATTTCTGATTTCCGTTAAACTGCGTCGTTTTTTGTCTTTGTTGATTTCTACAATTTCTTGATATATGTCCAATTTCTCCACAATTGAAACATGTAATCGAAGATTCCATCACCTGGACCGATTTGAATCGATGCCTCAAGGTGAATTGATGACTCTCTTCTAGAGTCGCAATTTCCGCCGCCTTCTGCAACGTCAGATTTTCTTCTCGCATCAATATGATTCCGATGTTTTGAGAAATCTCTCTTCGCAACCCCGTCGTAAATTGATTAAGGACGCTTTCGTTAATTTTCTTCTTAATACCTGGCAATTCTTCAGCTGTCGCCTTACTTTGGTCATCCTCCAAAATTTCATTAGCTATCAACCTTAATCTAGTCTGGAACTCGGACACCGTCTCATTAGGTCCCTGTAAAGTACGATTTAATTTGTTGTAAGCTTCACCTGGAATTCTTCGCGGCTTAAATCTCTGGATGAATTTTTCTTTGAAATCATTAAACGTTACCGTCGCCGCTTGCAATGTTGTATCACTTTTGTAATATCGATACGCTTCTCCGGTCAGTCGATATTTTACGATATTCAACGTTTCTTGTTCTGTCCACCTATCCAAAGTGGCTCTTTGCTCTATTCGTTCAAAATGTAATTTTACGTTCTCTCTTCCCGAGAACGCTTCTACTGTTGCTGCGACCATCCCCAGTGACACGGGGGTAACGGTCATAGCTTGTGGGGCGGTTTCTGCCATGTTAATAAGGGTTAGTAAATATTCTGATTGGTATTAATGATTCGCGAATTAAACAAAATCTACTTTATCCCACTTCAAAATCCTAAAAATTTAACTTGTCAAAAATTTCCCTTTAACAAAAATTTATCTTTCCTAAACCAAAAATTTTAGCTAACCCCACACCTGACACCAATTTGTAAGGAGCGGCTCTTACTTTGTTGTGTGGGCGTGCTAAAGGCGTATGCGACAAGCAGAACCTTGTCACGCCGGCTTGGATTTAGGGAGCAAAGTTAAATGAAATTTAATAAAAGAAATCAAGTCAAATTTAAATAACAAATTTAATGAAGTGAAATCAAACGAAAACAATAGCAAAAGAAATAAAATACAACCTAAAATTAATAAACAGAATTAAAGTTAAAATAAATTGGAACAAACAAAATTTAGCTACAAAAATAACTCGAAAACTTTATATTGATTAACAAGAGAAATTTTAATCTAGTAATTTACCTGACTTTACTTGAAAATCTGTATAAGCAATTTAATTAAAAACATCAAAAAATATCTAAGTTCAACAATTACAAAATGATCAATTTAATAAAATGAATAATTCAAAAATAACATCGAATATTACGTAGGTTTATACCAAATCAGAAGAAGCCAAAGCAATTAGTTACAATCTTTACAAGTTAATATATAAAATAAAACATTAACGACTTACCAAGGGTTAAAGCGATCATATTGAGAGGAGCGACTCGTCAAAAAGTATAACACTTTAATTTTAATCCGATCGAATAAAAGTTAATTAATAATTATTAATTAAATAACTTACATCAAACTTAAGAATTACCGGAGTCTTACTCGGACTTTACACTAAGACTCTTAACCGAAACCGAATAGGGTGCTTCGCCGAAGAAATTAATTTAAATCCAAACCGAACTGCCTCAAAAGGCGCTCCTCCTCAATATTTAAACCTTTACCCCCTGGACGCTCTTTCCTCTAGGAAAGTCCTCATTGGCCAACACATGGCTCAACCAATTAGAAATTGCAACATCAGCAATTAAACAAAAGAGAAGGAAGGAAAACAAAAGGAAAACGTTTTCCCCCTGAACGCTCTTAACTCTAAGAATAATCTTATTGGTCAACGCGTGGTTTAACCAATCAAACAATTACAACTATAACAATTAGACAAAAGAAAAGGAAGGGAAGGATGAGTCGAGCAGCGATCCCCTCTATCCGAGAATGAATAAAAATATTTAATAAATATGATTTAATTACCAAAATCTGAACTGATCTGCGGATCGCTACAACAAGCTGAAGAGGGTGTCGGATTTACCCAAATAGTTTTTTTTTGCTAACCGTTTTAACGGGATCATAGAAGTTTGAAAGATGTTTGCGTCAGATGAGTGGTATTCTCAAATTTTTGTTTATATTGTGATTGATGTGAGCCGTCACATCCCCATTTATATATTAGTTCTAAGTTTTTTATTTCGTCATCGCTCAACATTAATAAAACTTCTTTTAAGTATGCGCATAGTCGCGAAGAAGTGTGATCTAATAAGCTTTGTAATTTTATTTCAGCACTAGTTTCGCTGACTGTTATGGCATCCTTAGATGGATAACTATAAACTCTTTCTTTGCTCGTTGTATAATTTCTTGTCGCTAGTCCTAACAATTTCATATGGTCTTCTGGATAAATGGGCTTCTACAAACATCGCCAAAGCGTCTGCGGTGACATTTGTCCAGCGGACGCGGCAGTACTGGCAGCGGAAAATGCAGTTTCATATTTTAGTCCTCGCCTTGGGGAAACTGCTACGTCTTTTATTACTCGAGAAGCAGATAGGTTTCCAGATTCACGTAATTTCATTTGCGCTGCATATGTTAGTTCAACTACCATATACTACCATATATTGCGATGAACTTCGCAATTCCGTTGTTTTTCTTCTCTTGGTTCGTTCGCTTATAACATTACAAATGAAAGCTTACATTTGTTAGGGTCTTATTTGAGAAATCGTTTTCAATATGTTGCTTACAACACAAAAATATCCGAAAAGCTGTTAGTTGAGTGTGGAGTCCCCCAGGGATTGACACTTGGACCTTTACTTTTCATTGTTTTCATGAATGACCTGCCCAAGTGTCTATCACGAAATACGAACATCATATTGTATGCTGATAACACGACTACCATCGATATGCACAAACAAACCGATGATCTTAAAAAACAATCTGAGAGGTCACGTACCCTTGTTTTTGACTGGTTTACTGCAAATTCGCTTAGTGTTAATCAGTCAAGACACAGACCATACACTTTTCTCTTAATCGAAAACAGCCCAACCATATCGTGACTCCCATAAAATATTTGGGAATTACATTAGATTCAAAATTAACATGGGAGAGTCACATAATGGAGTTAGTAAAAAAATTGAATAGAAGCATATATGCTCTGCGAAATTTGGTGGGCGTGGTATCACCTGAGGTGTTAATTATGGCGTATTACGGAAATTTTTATTGTTACATGTCTTATGGTGTCTTGTGTTGGGGACATTCTACGCATGCACACCATATATTCCGAGTTCAAAGAAAATGTGTGCGATTAATGGGTCGTATGGGATTCAGGGAGTGCTGTAGGACGAAATTTGTTCAATTGGGTATTATGACCTTTCCGTTCATTTATATTCTTGCATGTCTGATGCACGTGAAGGCAAATTTGAGTGAATATAAAAAAAAACAACGATAGTCACCAGTACAACACAAGGAATGGATGCGGCCTTACTGTCCCTTTCAGTCGCACATTGAGGGCGCGAGATGGTTGTAATTATCACGGTATCCGATTTTTTAACGCATTGCTTCCTCATGTTCAGAATTTGGACATCAAGTGTTTTAAATCTGTTATCAAAAAATTCTTGATTGCTAAAGGCTTCTACAGCTACGACGAATTTGTAAGCAATGATTTTCAATGAATATGAACACTAATTTCTAACCAATATTTACTGCTGGTAATCAGTCTCCTTCAAAATATATACATGTGAATGCCTGACTTTATTTTTATTTTATTTGATTTTACTTATTAAATTTTAAATTTGACTCATGTATTTGTTTATTGTGTATTTTCATTTATGTATATTCATGTAATATAACCTGACGTGTGAAAATGCTGTAATAGTTTGGACATCACAAATAAATTATTACTATTATTATTATTATTTGGTTTCTCCTCTTACTAAATAGTTTTCCATGAAAACTATTTAGTTACTAATTTTTCTAACAAAGTTTTTTCTGGACAATTTCGCATGATCTCGTAAAGATGTCTATGGGTTACTACTTTCATCCCAGATGAACCTAAAATCGAATATAATTAATCTATTAAAAAGAGTTCATAGAGTTTAGATTATATTAATCGAATAATTTATTAATTAATATCATATTAATTTTAAGCGCAAAAATCTACATAATGGTATGAAAATTTAAATATATTAACAACATCCGAGACAATCAAATTTTGCAAATTTTCAAATATCTGTTATGTCTAGTTTGGCCAAAACATCTAACAGTTCAAATTTATTATAACACAAGAATGTAGCTGTTTATCAAAAAAAAAACATAAAAAGTGAAACTGTGGTTTTCCGCGGGAAATTTTCAATTGAAGTAATAGAAGATAAGGTACCGAACAGATTAAAAAAAAATAATTTTGCGATAAATAGGTGAACACTACAACAAAAACCATTTTGTATATGAAAAATAATCTTAAAAAAATGGGTTATAATAAATATTTTTAAAACTGTTAATAGTGATAATCAGAGCCCGGACAGTTTAGGAAAATTATCCTAAAACGCCTCCCACTCCAGTCTCAATATTCAATCGAAGCGTGCGAAGCTGTCGGATACGTCATACCTTATGTCACGAAATAAATTAATTTATTAATTATAAATTTAATAAAACCAAAAATGAATAATTCAGTGCGTATTTTTATATTATTTTTATTAATTTATTAATTAATGTTGCACTGCAAGTTCTTCGCTAAGGTACGCTAAGGGACGCTCATCGCTCTTCGAAATTCCATTTTGAATAGTAACTTAAAAGATGTCAAAAGTGACAACAACGTACTTACGTCGTTGTCATGGAATTCGTTTCGTGTAGAGGGGCGCACTTTTCCTAAACTGTCCGGGCTTTGGTGATAATAAAACGGCGATATTAATGGACTCTATAGTATATATTATAACTTACCGTGTCCTGAAAATTCCAGTTCGTTGAGAAAATAACACACAATTTATAAACAAAACTGAGAAGCACTGAATATCAAACACCGAACTGACGAATCGAAAGGTGGAGTTAAAAAGTGATTTTATGCCGCAAGTATTATAGGTACTGTATCTGAAACGTTTTCCCGATGTTCCCTTTGTTTTGAAATACAAAATTTGCCGCTTTTTACCTGTTTTGATAAAATTTTGGAAATTTGAATTTTGGCCAGCTTTTGATGCTTTCGATAATTGAAGGAAAATGTAATGTTTCTCCTAATTTAAATTTTAAAATTTAAAAATATAACACGTCATCTATCATTCATCAGACAAACTAAAAAATTATGCCACTTTTAGACAATCAACCCTTTTTTAGTTAGAATTTTGAATTTCAAATTTCCCACGCTATGACGACACTTTCTGCGCATGCGCAGGAGCATGGGGAGCACAGGGAGCAACTTCCGCTCCAGAACCGGCGTTTCTTATCTACTAGCGAGTCGCTAGGTAACTTGTTGATGCTGTACCGTAAGTAATAGTGGTTAACTCGTAAACCACTATTGGAAGATTCTCGGAATCGCGCCAAATAATACGTTGGAATCTTAATTGTTCCGTGTTAGTGAGGCATGCACGATAATTTTTTTTAATATCTGATGTTACAACTATGCCATATTGTCGGACTGGAGCGCTAAATAGGTCTGGTTGGATAGTAGGACCCACCACCTGCAGATAGTTAAAAGAATAACCGGTGGATGTAGGACACGAAGCGTCAAACATTACTCGTAACTTTGTGGTTGCGTTTTTTTCGTTTATAACACCAAGGTGGGGTATATAGTAATTATTTTAATCACCTACGCATATGTCCGAATTCGG